TGTGCAAACATTTCAAAATAATTTTTTTTTTTTTGGATAAACTGACTTTACAACTACCAAAATCCAGAAATGCAATGAGATTTCATTCTGATGTATAGGTCATAAATGCAAAAGGGTTACTCTTTAAAATTAGGCATTTGTGCCCTTCACTCGTGCGACATTACCATGGTCTTTCATGCACAATGCCTACTGAGCACAGGGCTCTTTATTAAAGAGATCCAAAGCTCATAGACAAGATCATTGTTCTAGGAAAGAATTTTTGTACATTTTTGTAAACCCACTCCTTGGTTTTCTTGCTAAAACAAGACCATTCCATAGTAATTTATATTCTGAGCAATTACTTTAATAATTTTAAGGGGGGTTAAAATTAGAAAACTGAAGATGGCAATTTTAAAATTCCGTTTTGTTGGTAACCACAATTATAAATTCCCAATGACACTGTTGAATTCATGGTGCTATATATCTTCTTCTTAGCCATTATTTTTAGTGTTTAAAGCAAGACTCTCAAAAAAGTTGTCTGTAAATTACCTTTAACAGTCATAAAAACTCAGAAAATGTAAATAAGCATCATGTCATTTTTATTTAAATTTTTCAGGGGTAAATTTAGCAGATACATAATAAATGGTTGAACACTAGAGATTTTAGCTTTAGTGATATGATACCCAAATGTTTACTAAATAACTGGTATTGAGGCCCAAGAATTCTTCCAAAAGAATTACATATTCTAAAAGTGAAAATATATGAATAGACCTTCCCTCTCCAATGCAATAACCACTAGCCACAGATAGACACTGTGTATTTGAAATGTGGCCACTGTGCTGAAAAACTGCATTTTTACCTTTATTTAATTTCAATTAATATCAACTTTTATAGCCACACGTGACCAGCTGCTGCCATATTGGAGACTGCAGGTATACATACATGTATGTATAAATACATATATGCATGTATAAATACCTACTGCCATTTTATCTTTAATGTCTTCTAATGTAAACCTTTCTCAGCCTTCTTCTCTTTATGATATTCATATTTTTGGAGAGTATATTTGGTGGACCATGCTTATAACTCTTAATCCTGACCTGAAAACTCTTTTATAGGACTTGTCTTTACAACAAATTTGTAGGAAAATTTCCCATCTATGAATTCTGAGACCTTTAGTACCAGTCAAGTGGGCAATCAATCCATAATGGGTGTTACAAGAGATACAAGCAGAAATTAAAAGCATGTCTCTGAATACAGAGAACTTCTGAAGTCAAGGAAGAGCAAAAAGAGAGTGTGAACTTGAAGTATACACTCCAAGGTCAAGGGAGAAGTAGCTGTTGATGTAGAAGACAGGCAAAGAAAGGAGCTGTGAGATCTAATAAAGTCTCGTCATATGGGTAGGTGATATGGGTAGCCTTAGTGGAAGAAAACAAAAGTAAGGAAATGATACAGTGCTTAATCTCAACAGTTTATAACCTTATAATGAAGCTGTAAGATCACAACTCTGTTATATGACTTGCTAAGACAGGGAGATAAAACAGATATATAAACATCATCAAAGAAAATGATATCATTAATCATTTTAATAGTATAGAAAAGGCCATTGATATTCCTGTAAGAAACTAGGAAGATGAAAAATCAGGATATGTTACATAAACTAATACTAGGTATGATTTCAAACAAAATATATCACATATATTGCTGTACCTGATTCAACTACTATTGAAGAGGATAGATTACGTTTTTAAAAAAAGCAGAAGTGTTACTTGTACAACTGTGAATAAACTAAAAAAGACTGAATTGTACACTTTAGGAGAGTGAATTTTGTGGTATTATAAGTAATATCTTAAGTTGCAATTAGATAATATATAAAAGTAAAAAATCTGGAGAGGAAAAGAAGCCTCTCTTCACAAGGGAGGATAGTTTGGCAAGCACAGGTTGAAGTAGATATTTGGAAGAACGACATTTTTCCTGATCAATGAATAAAGAAGAAGTAGAGAAGTTAGCTGGAAGAGTCATCATGAAGATGAATTTAAAGAAAGAGGTGAGAGAGATGGGTAAAACAAGGCCCTGCACAGCCACAAGGGTGAGAAGCGACAGCCCACAAAGACAGGGTATCTGAAAAGGATTTTGCTGCATAAGAAATACAAAGAGGGGATTTTCAAGTCGTTTACCATGATGTTTTCTATGCACCTATCTCTTATCTTTCTCAGTCACATAGTGATTTAATAAATGTTACATTTGTCACTAAGCTTTTTCCATCAATGCAGATTCTTTCAGGGAAAATAAAAAGGGAACTGTGTCTGGGTTGATTTAAGGCAAAAACATGCACTGTAGGAAAGCCTGGAGTTGAGTACAAAGGATATGCTGGAGTATAAATATCTGGGAATCATCAGAAATTCCAGGGAGAATTAAGACTCTCAAAAGTTGTAGAACTGGTGAGGTTCAAGTTGAGATCCCCAAGTGGAAAGGAGGAACCAGGATCATATCTGGGATACAGATGGAATGAACTGAAAATTGCATTAAGCTACATATATGATACAATGAAAGGATGAAGTTGGAAAATAGGAAAACCCAGAATTGATCTAGACCCAAGCAGAGTAGATAGAGTTGCTTGACTGCCTGGCAGATGGAGAAACTAGAGACTCACCTCCCCCTTGTCCTCCCCCAATCCTTTGCGAGTGTCCTACAGCTCAGAGATGAGGATCTAGAACTTCTGACTAGAGTGCATGAGGTGCTTCATAGATGGAGGGCATAATCAGGTAAGGAAATCCTAGGCTCATATCCATTTAAAATTGACTCTGTTCTCCTGTTCCTCTTTTGACTCTTCTAAATCAGTTTTGTTGTCTCAGAAATATATCTGAGATAAGAACAAGCACAGCTAATGCGATCAATTAAATTGAGATGTGTTGTGTCAAGTAGAGAAGATTTCAAAGACTTAGCATGAAAAATGTTTTAATTTCTCATTAATAACTTTTATATTGATTATATGTTGAAATGGTAACTGGGCTAAGTAGACTAAATTACCTAAATTAATTTTCCACACTGCTTTATAATTTTTAACGTGACTGCTGAAAAAATTTTAAATTAAATTTGTAGCTCTGTTTTTATTTTCATAGGAGAGCACTGGAATAGATGATTTATGAAGTAAACACTACAAACAGTATGACAAAAAATTTATCTTCACAGCTAATCTAATTAGTGAAAACTTACATAACCTTTAGTTTTTAAGATAACAAGATACTAAAAAATGTTAGTGCATACTATTAACAAGGACATAGTAAGATAAGCATGCTTACATATTAGTAATGAGGTTATAAATTGTTAAAATCTTTCTGGAAAAAACTGGAAGTAACATTGAAAACCCTTTAAAATACTGGTTCCTTTTTAATAAACAACTATTGATACCTACGGGCTTCCCTGGTGGCTCAGAGGTTGAAGCGTCTGCCTGCAATGTGGGAGATCTGGGTTCGATCCCCGGGTCGGGAAGATCCCCTGGAGAAGGAAATGGCAACCCACTCCAGTACTCTTGCCTGGAGAATCCCATGGATGGAGGAGCCTGGTAGGCTACCAGTCCACAGGGTCGCAAAGAGTCGGACACGACTGAGCAACTTCACTTTCACTTTCATTGATACCTACAAATTTCTGTACAATGATGTTGACTGCGACATTATTATCTAGGAATGTATTACAATAACATGAAAAGTGAAGGTAAGGAAATACTTAAATGACCTTCAGTCACATGATAGAAATATTGTCCATATTCTGGTCACAGCACCTTTCTAATACTAACTTAATAGTAGATGTTTGTGCACTGAAATACAAAGATATAATCATGTTTTATGTTAGTGTAATTAAGATTTGGTTTTTTTCTAGAACTTTTTTGGTGTTACAGATTTTCTAAAATAAAAATTAGCATTAATTACAGGAAATAAAGAAGAAAAGAGAACAAGATGGGTTCAGTATCTGCTAGTTTCAGTCATCCTCCATGTTTTCACTTGCACATGCCCTAAACTTAGAAACGTCTTAAATAGGTACATATATGATTTCCATTATTTCCCTTCAACTCATTTCCTTTTTTCCTCTCACTTCTTACCTACCAAACCAAATTATTACTGAATAACATTTTAGCCACAGATAAGCTGTCAAGTGTTTCTTTGAAAAGATTAATGTTAATTTTAAAATAAATGTTTTTTACCTGTCTTATCTAAATGTTAACATTTTCTGTGTTTTTTCTGATTCATACCAAAAAAAAAAATCAGCTCACTAAATTTACATACTTATCTCCAACTTTCCTTTTAATCCATATTCATTTTATTTATCAGTATCTGATAAAATTTAACTAACATATTTTGAAATCTTTCACTAAAAGAAAACAAAAATCCTGTGGCTTTAGATAAGCATTTAAACATAAAAACAGTAATTTAATTAACTATAAAAACTCAATATTAGCATTGAGAAATAGGTCAGGATTTTTCTGACTTGTCTCTGGTGTTGATCATGAATAAGCTCACAATCTTGGTTCTTGTTTTTCAATTGATCATAGTTTGGCAGTTGAAAGAAATATTTACAATCATCTGGTTTATCCCTCCCATTCTGCCTGTGTTGGTTCTAGCAGAGTTTATCATCATGGCCACACCACACAAGCCTAGACTTAGAATCAACAGATGACTTATGAACTCAAAGTGTTATTTCAAAATGACTAAGATTCCCTTTTGCCCTACCGCAGGCTCCAGGGTAACGGTGTGCAATCGAGAAGTCGGCGACGATCGGGACCCCAGTGAGATGGGCCTGCTCACTACCTAAAAAGTCCCTTTCATGGTCTGACCAACCAGCAACATGGCAACGAGTGCAGTCCCCATGACGCAGTCCCCATGACAACCTCCCCACGTACAAGCTGGTGGTGGGGGGCGTGTGGGCAAGAGCGCCCTCACCATTCAGCTTTTCCAGAAGATCTTTGTGCCTGACTACAACCCCACCATCCAAGACTCTTCCCTATAACATACAAAGATCGACAGTCAATGGGCCATCTTGGACGTTCTGGACCCGGCCCGGCGGGAGGTGAAGGTCAGCGCCTTCCGGGAGCTGTACCTGCGCACAGGCGGCGGCTTCCCCATCGTCTTCTCGGTCACCGACAAGACCACCTTCGAGCACGTGGATTGCTTCCACCAGCTCATCCTGCGTGTCAAGGACAGGGAGTCATTCCCGATGATCCTCTTGGTCAAAAGGTCGATCTGATGCATTTGAGGAAAATCACCAGGGAGCAAGGAAAAGAAATGGCGACCAAACACAATATTCCATACATAGAAACCAGTGCCAAGGACCCACCTCTCAATGTTGATGAAGCCTTCCATGACCTGGTTAGGGTAATTAGGCAACAGATTCCAGGGAAACAAGCCAGAAGAAGAAGAAACCCAAATGCTGCGGAGACCAGGTCACGGGCACCCACAAACGGCAGTGTGTATACTGTGATGGCCCCAGGCCCTGGGCACAGTGACCGGGAACTGGCCAGCCCTGGGGACCCCTCCACTGCCTAACTGCACCAAAGACTATCCTAACCATGACCCTTGGCCCCAGGACTTGGCACGGGAAGGGAGAGAAGAAGGGTGGGCAGGGAGGAGGTAGGGGCTGGCTTTTCCCGAGGGGCACAGGAGGCAGGGTGCCTCACCAGAGAGGAGGAGGCGATGGCAAACAGAACAGCATCCGAGGCCCTGTGCTGATGCAACCCGGTCCCTCCCTGTTGGTGGCTGTGTTATTTCTCTGAACTCAGTGTAGGTTTCATGTGGGAGTGTCTCTCCACGTACAAAAACAAGCCACGATCAAGCTCCACCCCAGCTCCACCTCCAGTCCACAGTGTCTGAGTTTGGGTGTCTTTTGTAGATGTTTAAATTATTTTAAGGATTATTGTCTTATTAAAGGGGTCTGTACGCCACCCCCACCACCACCACCAAAAAAACAAATGACTAAGATTCAAATTTTCTACATGAGACGACCAAAGGAGGGGTATGAGTTTGTTCCCAAGACCCCTAAAGAAGCTTAGAATTAATGAAAATTGGAAAATCACAGATCAACATGTATTTACAGACTTTGTTGATTGTGGTGATGACAAGGGGTAACCTACCACTTTGTGCACAATTTTACGAATGACATTGCTAATGAGGAATACACAGTGTGGGCTTTGGTACCATCTGGCACTATATGGCCAAGGACAGGTCTAGCCCTGCAAGGCGCTATGTCAACAGCAGAGCCTGATGTTAATCATACTGGCATCCCTGACAGTTGGCAGCATGTTTATAAAGTAGTAGACACTCAGTAAACACTATTATTATTCATTAACACATAATGAACAGTCCTATACACAGTCAACAAAAGTGTGATATTCAGGAAAGTATTATTGAACCCTCAAGTTGGTGGAATGTTTCTCCCAATACTTAGTAGCTATATTTCTTAATTAATTGAGGCACTTTATATAAAATAAAATTCACTCATTTTAAGAGTATAGTTCAATGAGATTTGACAATTTAATATGCCTATGCTATACATTTTCTTCAAAGCACCAACTGAATTTCACTCCAGTTATTTTGTCAGGTTGAGATTTTAATTCCATTCAGTTCAAACTATTTTCTAATTTGTCTTGTCATTTTCTCTTTCACCCATGGGTTATTTAGAAGAGTGTTTTTTGCTTTCCAAATATTTTGTGTTTTTCCAGATAACTTTCTGTCTTTCATTTCTAACTGAATTTTCCTGTGGACAGAGTATAAACTCTGTGTGATTTAAGTTCTTAGAAGTTTACTGATTTCTTTATTGCCCTAAACAAAGCCTAGTTTCCCTAATGTTCCATATTACTTGAAAAAAATGTGTTTTCTGCTCTTGAACTTTTCTATAAATATCAGTTAAGTCATGTTGGTAGTGTTGTTTAAGTTTTCTATACCTTTACGGATTTTTCTGTTGGCTCAAACTTCAGTTACTGAGAAGGAGCATTTAAATCTCCAAATACAATTGTGGTTTCGTCTATGTTTCCTTTCAGCCGTCTTAGTACTACTTTCACACATTTAGAGGCTCTGTTGTGGGTCCTTACAGACTTAGGAATGTTACATTTTCTTAATGAGTTGTTCTTCTTTATCATTTTATACTATATACTTTATCCTCAATAATATTTTTGTCATGGGGTATAATTTACTCTCCAGTCAAACTTTACTGCAGTTATTATTTGGAGATTGTGTAATTTTCCATCCTCTTGCTTTTTATATATAATTTCCCATCCTCTTGCTTTTAACCTGTTTGTGTTTTCATGTTTTAAGAATGTTTCTTATGACAGTATACAGGTGAACTTTGTGTTTGTTTTTCTATCCATTTTGATAATTTCTGCTTTTTTATTGGCGGGTTTAGTTGCCTCCTCATGTATAAAGTAAAAACAACACACTTCAATTTACCCCCTTCCAGATTTTGTGCTCTGGTGGTATGTTTTGCCTCTGCATAAGCTACAAACTTCATAGTATATTATCTCCATTTTAGTCAATACTTTTTTATTTTTTTAAGTTATATAGTAAAATTGTCTTCATTTTAATTCTTGTGTATCATTCTTTGCATTGTAATACATATGCATTTGTGTAACTACCACCATAATCAGAATATAGAAAAGCTCCAAATTCCCACCAAATTCCTTGTGATACCAATTTGTAGATATGTACATCCTATGATGATTAATTTTATACATCAACGTGACTGGACCATAGGCTGCCCAGATATTTGGTCAAATATTATCTTAGGTGTTTCTATGAGGGTATTTGTGGATGAGTTTAACATTTAAATCAATAAATTAAGTAAAGAAGATTACCCTCCTTAATGTGGGTGGGCCTCACCCTACGAGCTGAAGGCCTGATTAGGACAAAAAGACTGATCTTCTACTTAGTAAGAGATTTCTTCCTGTCAAATGGTCTTCTAACTGGGACATCATCTTTTTCCTCCCTTCAGACTTAAACTGAAAACATCTGCTTTTCTGGGGCTCAATCCTGCTCTACAGTTTTCAGGCTGAAACTAATCCCTGGAAACCCCTTATCTGTTCTCCATCACTATAGTTTTGTCTTTTTGAGAATATCATATTAACTAAATAATAGCACATATAATCTTTTGAGATTGATTTCTCTCACATAAAATAAAATATTTAGAATTTAACCAAGTTGTTGTGCATAAACAGTTTATACTTTTATATTGCTCACAATACATTATTTTCTGGATATTAAACAGTTTGTTTATCCATTCATTAGGCAAACAGCATTTGAGGCTTTTTTTTTTTTTTTTTCAGTTTTTGGCGATCATGAATGTAGAGACCATGAACTTTTGTGTATACGTTTTTGTGTAAGCATAAGTTTTCAGTTCTCTAGGGCAGACACCCAGACGTGGGACTGCTGGGTCACATGGTATGTGTATGTTTAACCTTGAAAGAAGTTGTCAAATGATTTTCCAGTGACTCTACCATCTTTGTTCCCATTGGCAGTGTATGAGAGTTACAGGTGTTCTCCATCCTTGTCAGCACCTGTTATTGTCAGGATTGTTTATTTTACCCACTTTAATACACATATGGTATTACTTCAACTTGGATTTCCAGAATGGCTAATGTTATTGAATATATTTTTATGTGCTTATTTGCATCTTTGTATCCTCTTTAGTGAAGTGCTATTCATGTTTTCTGCCTGTTTTTAAAGTTAAGTTGTATATTTTCTTATTACTGAGTTTCTTATTATTTGAATTCTTATTATTGAGTTTTGAAAATGCTTTAAATATTCTGGATCCAAACTCTTTGTCACATACAAGATTTAAAAAAATTTTCTCCCAGTCTATAGCTTGTCTTTTCACTTTCTTAACAGCATTTATCAAGAGCAAAAGATATTAAATACTGATGAAGTATAATTAATTGGATTTTATGATCATGCTTTTGATGTCATGATGGGATAAAATTACTTTTTAAAATACAAATGTATAATGATAAAAGAAAGAAAGGAAAGAAGTTCCACTACATTATCATACATAGTTGAAGGTTTAGTATCATTTTCCTTCAACCAGAAGAATTCCCTCTGACTTTTTTGTAATGTACATCTACTGGTGACAAATTCTCCAAATTTATATTTTTCTGAAAAGTTTTTACTTAAACTTCACTCTTTAAGACTATTTTCACTGAACTAGAAAATTTTAGATAGGCCTTTTTTTCCCTTCAGAATTCTAATGATACTTTTCTACTACTTTCTAGCTTGAATTTTAAAATAAAATGTTTACAGTGATTCTTATCTATTTTCCCTTCTATGTAATGTGTGTTTCTTTTCTCTGATTGCTATTAAGAGTTTCATCTTATTACTGACTTTAAACAATTGCTGTTTTCCTTTGGTTTCCTCTGTGTTTATGCCGCTTAGCTGTGTTGAGTTCCTCAGATGTATGGCTTGGTAATTTACATTAAATTTAGAATGACTTTAAGTCAATATTTTAAAATTTTTTACCTTATTCTCTTTCTGCAATTTCAATTCCAACTATATGTTATTTTGGCCTACTTCACAATTCCTCATATAACACTGGGCTCTCATTTGTCATAGTATTCTCAATTACACTGTTTTCAAACTCACTGATCTTTTCTTTTGTCATTAGTGTCTAAGTTTTTCTTAAAACCATCCAGTGAATTAAGCATTTCACACATTGCATTTTTCATTTCCAGAAACGGCAACTGAGTTTAACGCTAATTCCACTATTTTTGTCATTTCAGGTCTGCGTCTATTGACTCATTTTCCCCCAGCTTTATGGATACTTCTTGCATCTTCGAGTCCCTGTTACATCATTTCCGTTAGATAGTAGAAATTCTGAACGCTATTAAAGAGTGTGGCACTTTGTCCTGGTAGTCAGGTTTTAAAGCCTGTTTTCATGATTTGTTCTGGCAGTGAGTCAGTTTTAAGGTTGGTTAGAGAAAGGTAAGAGGAACTGTTAGTCTGGCCCAGCCCCATGACCAGGGTGTAACCCTCTGTTGCCTCTATTGGATGCCCCCATGTGTTCGGTGAGGTGTCTCCATTCTGGCTAGTTGGAACTCAAGTCTCTTCTAGCCTCGTGTAAGGCTTAAGAATGTTTCAACTGATTATTTTCTAGTACTTTGGTTTTTGCCTGGTTCTGTGAAGTTTCAGTGCACAGATGTGTAGTGAGGTATCCCGAAACATGTTCTCTGCAAATCTCCCTCTTCTTCAACACTCTGCCCCATCTCAACCTC